TCACTCTTGACAGTTGAATTCTGCACATAGCATGTATGTTTATAATCCTTGAGCAACAGACAGTCAATCATTTCGCCATTGCTGATTGGTTCCCTAAGAAATTTCAAGGAGAAGTAAAGAAGTTACAAAGATACCAAGATTCTGTTCCTGTAGAAATGAGGATGTAACTAAAACTGCATCAAGTACTCTGCTGTGAAAACAAGTGTTCAGATTTTGCCCAAAAAAGTATGAAAGCAGTGATTGGAGATCAGAGATGTCTGACATATACCAGTATCAATTTTTTGATGGCTTGATTTATTTTTTTAAAAGTAGCACATTTCAAGAACAAAGTAAAGGACATCGGCTATTCAACGATCTAACTTACCGTATCAGATGCATATACGGTACTCTGCAAGACTGCAACTTGACCCTGATTGTCCTCTTAAAATATAATTATAACAGCATCTGATAATTTAAACCTGATGCGTAAAACAAAACCAGAATTGAAAACCTGATCTAGGCTACCTCCGCTACCAGTACAACCAGAAAAGAATTCAAATGCCACCCCCGTCCTGAGTGCCCGCTCCCTTTGTAGAGCACCCCCCACCCAGTTGTTCCAAGTCTCAACTTTACACCAGCACGTGAGCTTCCTGACATATTTGTCCCTGCATCGTCCGCTCCCTACACCACTAGCTGAGGACAGTCAACAGAGATGGCCCAGCAGGAGGGGACACATAAATAGTTCAATCAACTGTCGTAATTTACTCTTTTTTTTCCCCACTTGACCGTAGTTATCTTTAGTAAAGAAGTGTCGGTAGATTGGGTTGGGCACAAAGGAAAACCCTGCTGGTTTTAGTCCCACTTTCTTTTTTCCCCTTCAAATGTGTCGCCAACAAAGTCATTCATCATACCAGTGAACTTGTTAGCATCTGTGCACTTTCTCTACAGATATGAGGTGGTTAGTTATCAAGTTAGTTATCAGTAGGCTGGCGGTTTCTCTGTTTCTACATCTGTTTCTGTCACCTACTTTGACCAGTGTGTCTGTGTGGAAAAGCTTATAAATGTTACATACTTTTATTCTGGAACAGCTCATGTTTTATCTGCTCTTGCTTTAAATTTTTTGTTAGATTTATAGTTTGGGTGGAAGGGGGAGAAGGTTGTCAACCATTTCAGAACATCCAATGCCTTATCATGTACATGACATGTAAATGACGAAAGACTACTCATGAGTGTCCTGTGATCACCCCCGGAAGGTAGCCACTTAGAACAGGTGAAGTCTCTCATCAGCCACAACATCAAGTTGGAATTTGTATCATGTATTCCTTTGTTTTGTATCAGTAAAGAAGAATAAAGTTATGTTTTAACATTATTCCATTATCACAAATACAGCGGCATAGTATTGTTGCGAGTATAGGGAGGACGGGAGCTGAATGTTGGGAGGGGATAGGTCCCAATGTTTTCTGAACTCTGCTAGTATTTTCTATGATTTTTTATGGGGAAGGGTGTATGCAAAGGAATGTAAACAAAAATAGTGGTTGTTGCAGTAATAGTGCTTCACTGCTCCCCACAGCACATCTCATATGAACTAACATACGGTACATGTAATACCAGTATGGCTGTACAACAACCTTGTACCCAAATGTCATGCTAAGACAATGTGGTGGAAACAACACTTTTAACCTTGGGAAGATCAAGGTAATGTACCCTGTGGGGCACATCGCTCATGTACCACAGTGAACATCGCTCATCTTCTCTTGATCCAGTAAATGTGTGTTTCTGGCATATATTATTGATTCTTGACCAATAAACATATACAGTCTATTACTGTGGTTTAAAAAAAATGGATGTTTGGCTTCATCTTGGGTGCCGTTGCCTGCTTGGGTGTACAAAACACCATTGACCCCTACACAACAGGCAAAAATTGTATACTGTCTAACAGTGAGGCCAAGAAATTACTCTTTCCTCTAGTTTTCTGTCTTATTTTTCATCCATCCTCCTCCTTTAACTAGCACATCAGAAGAATAATCTCTGTCCTGATCAAAGCTCAGCACAGTAGAACATTACAGAATCATGCATGGTTTGTTTCTACTTTAATGGGAATTTGGTCCAAGCTACCATACATGTAAGTGAATACATGCATTTGATTGGGTGATGGTCAGATATTCAAACTCAGCCTTACATGGTATTGCATAGTGTTAATGTGTTCAGTTGTGTATATGTACATGTACATGTATGTTATTCACTTTACTTTACGTTACGTTCATTTCAAGATTTATTGTGTGAATTCCATGGGGCTTTTATGCAAGACTCGATGTTTGCCAAGAGGAGTGACACGTGCTGATTTGTACTGTCATCCATCACAAGACTACGCTGTGCTCTCCACTATGCTTAAATGGACAGTCCCACTTTTGTAATACTTTTTGTCTGTCAAACCATTTGCCTGGGGAGAGTTCTGCTGGGTGTTAACATTCCAAAATGACAATGATAACCATAATCCTTTGAAAGGAAGCCAAACCCTTACATCCCAATGGAGCCAGACTTATCAAGCTACAAACTGGGACATCAGCTCTGACTCCATCAAGGAAATGGTCAGTTCCAGGGACATATCCTTAGGCCAGATTCTGGGTCACTTTCTGTGACAGTGTTCACAGGTACATGTAGGTCACTTTATGCGAGTAGACTTGCTTTATTTTGAACTACCAGTATGTACTAGTATTGGTGAGGTACTAAAGGTGCAAGTTAGAAAGGCTCTTACTTTCCAAGGTTACTGTTTGATGAAATATCCACCCAGCGATACTGTGCACGATATGGGGCCGATGGGTACCCCTCCCACATATCCAATCCCTATACACACTCTAGACTATTGTTACCTAACATATCCCCCTAGAAGTCTGTAAAGAATTCCTGAGATTCCGATCAAACAATGACCAACACAAAGGTAGGGGGGTTCTCTCTGCCCCATATCTTGCATCATATGCACTCAGCTTGTCGGATCTTTTGTGGCATCTCTGCATTCTTATCCAGCCTATTAGGGAGAATGGGGAAGATTCTTACCCTTCACTAAATTAGCAAAGAGAGGAAAGGAAAAGTGATTGCCCCTTCAAATGAGTAGATGTCAAAATACAGTCTGTCGGCCCATCCAACTGTGTTTGTCCTAGGCAAAATCATCATTCCTTGTTCATTCCAACAAATCATGGAAAAATTTCATTCAAAAGTGGCCAGACTGGCAAGTGAAAGATGTGGGTAATTCTTTACATCAGTTGTACCATTGTACCAATAGGTTTCAAAGAATGACATACATGCACTGTAATTATTAATAATTTTTATAAATATGAATAATTTTTAATTTTTTTCAATCACTGGGTTGCTAGTTTGATATGAATAAATTTGTGTACTGTTGGGGAAAGATTAAATCAAGGAGTGTAACCAAGATTTACCAAATCATTTGTCAGTTGTAATGAAGACAGAGAAGGGGTACCCCAGTTTTTTAGAATGACCCACATCCTCTTTTTCCTATGGAATAGTTAGGTTTCCTCCACCCAAGTCGCCTTTCTCTCTCTACCCACCCTTCTCTCCCTCTCCCCCTCCTCTAAAAAAAGGTTTTGTAGACATCTGTCTGAAAAAAACTACCTTGGTGGCTTTCCTGATTGAACTGGCTCCCGATTTCCCATTGAGTTCCTGTCTTGTAAGCCATTCCAGATGATTGGGGCCGCTATTGATATGTTATTGCAATCAGTGTCATTTCAGACAGTCTGCCAAATTTCAAGGAAAACCAATTGAAATTAGATGTGACAGAGTGACTGAAAGCTCTTTGCCAGAACTCAATGTCAAACTTGTTTGACAGGCTCCCCTTTTCACCTGCAACATTTCACTTTGGGCACTTTTTAAACATGAACAGGTTCACATTTCTTACAGCAAGCTGTCAGGATTGCACCCCAAGTTTTCTATTTTTGTTTTTCCCCTCAGACTCACATGTTCCATCCCTTTTTTACATTTTGTTTGGGAAGATTATGCACGAAATGGAAAACCACTTGACTGTCTTTGGCTTTTAATACCATGCAATTTACCAAAAGCAAACATGACTCCTAAAATCTGGTGTATTTATGGCAGTCACGGCGTACACTTGTACTGTAGTCCACTTCAACCTGACAGGAAAAGTCCTGATGAACAATACCGAAGTACATGCAGCATGCACAGACAATTCTGCAATCCATAACATTGAATACATTTATCATTCTCTCCATCACATGCATGTGCATTGGTGGGACACACGCTCCATATGTACCTCTAGTTCTGTCTCCAGTGCTGTTAGAGATCTGCATGCAGTTTATACCAAATACACCCCCAATCTGCACTTGTACGTTGTTGCTTTTCCTTCCGAAGGGCATCTTTGCTGAAGAAATGCACTAGTTTAAACAAAGATTTCAGTCTTGACAATGCACTTTCTAAAAATAAATGTATGTACATGTAAGTCCTGAGTTCTTTCATCTTTTGCTATAACACTGAAAGAAAAAAAGAAGTCAGTACATTTTCTGTAGATAACCATTTCAGCCAATGCAGTGGGCTAATTATTGGTTTAGATGAGGACAGGGCAGCAGAACAAAGTACCAGTTGACCAGAGAGATATAATTTGTGTCTTTCTCTTTGATGAACTGAGTCATTCCAGTAGAACTGCTTGTACTTCTGTAGATTTTTCTGCTGGAAATGAGACTAAGAGATGGCAGCAATCTGTTGCATGTGCCCTGTGTTACACTTTTGCAATGCAGATGACATGCAAAGCAGTGTCTGAGTGACATAAATTATGTCACAGTCATTTTTAGGCCAGACACATTAATTGTTCTTAACAATATGATTTACATTATCCAAAGGTGTTGATGATGTAATTCCTGATGCTGACGATTTTTTTTTTCACCGAAAATGGAATCAAGAGACTTGTGCCTTTCGCATTCCTTCTTGGCAGAACAGTTTCAAAAATTGACCTAACATTTTCTCTGTTGTCTTGGCATTGATGTGCACTGCAGCATCCTTACCAGAGGAATTGGGTCACCTCAAGAAGCTGGAGACTCTCCAGTTGAACAACAATCGGCTGACCTCCCTGCCTGCCTCCCTGTCTAAGCTGTCGGCTCTTAAGACCCTCTCCCTTTCAGGCAACAAGCTTCAGCGCTTCCCCCTGCAGGTCTGTGAGCTCCGGCACCTGGACATCTTGGATTTGTCCCAGAATTCCATCAGGAAGATCCCTGACGGGGTGGGAAGGCTTCAGACTATTGAACTGAATGGTAACCAGAATCAGGTGAGTAGACAATGGATGATTAGGGGGCTAGCTTGTAGAACAGGTTCAGCTTTACAGCTTTGTCCACCCCCCTTGCTCAGAGCAGATTGGTATTTTATGAAGATAGAATTGGCAACTAAGCTGAGTTCTTAAAATCCCTCTTTACTTGACATAAAAGTAGTGCTGTCATGACAAAATCAAAATCAGGTCTTCCATAGGTTCCAGTTACAACTAGGCCTAAAGCATTATAGCAGTAAGGACAACTTACATCACTGGAAGATCATTCTCCAAAACTTGTAAACTGATTGTAAAATCAGTAAAACTTGTTCCTAAAGTTCAAACCTGGCATACTTAAAAGGATACATCCGTCATATATCGATGGTAACATTTTCACAAAACCTGAGTTAACACTTGATGGACATGTCATGCTCATTGCCCAGATATGCACTGATTTTATAAGAAAAGATGAAAAAAAGAGAGAAATACATGTATCATGCTTTCCCTCATTGTCAAATCCCATCAAAGCCAGAGCCTCAAAATTGCAGACAATTCACACCTGGCCCAGACCTGTACCTTACAGCCTGAGGACAGACAACATTCCTGTGGTTACTAAAGAGACAGAAGTAGACTTAGTGGTGAACCTGGAAAAAATATTTGGCTATCACAGTCACCAATCTAGCCGCTTTTCTGTCAGTTACCTGTCAAACTTCCCGAATAGGTGTGCTACTTTTTTGATGTGGACCAGTCTTTAGAACAAGGGAATTTCAACGTTTGAAAAATTGTTTGAATATTTCAATCATGAGACAGAGGGAGATTTTCAGTTGTTCCAATTTTACTAACAAAAGAAGTTGTTGAAAAATCCACGAGAGGCTGTTCTGATTCTTTCAAATAAACTACAGTGTTGTTTACAGTGATATTTTATAATTAAATAAATATAATGTAATTTCAAAATGTGTTTGTTGCAGTATTCACATAGCAAAGAACAAAGTGGAGATAAATTAGCTGTTTGGTGTCGCAATTTTGCATTCTGAATCATCTTCTTTCTTTAGTTAAGTGGGAAAAAGTTAACCGATGTGCTTGTGGATGTAGCCAGCTTCGATATTCTTGCCACAAAGGTACTTGTTATCGCACTGTGAATCAACCAAAGTTTACTACCTGATGCACATGTACATTTGCAGTCATTTAGATGTCAGAGGAAATAAAACAGCAAATCACTAATGGTGGGTTATGGTTGAAGTAAAATTGATCATATGTCAGAACTTTCAATTTGCCATTAACTTGCACCTGCTTTTCTTCAGCTGTAAATGACAGCTGGTAACAGCATAAAAAGAACACAACACCCTCAAAATTTACCTCTTGTAACCCAAACCCAGGAATATCACTCGATCAATTACAAATTACCTGGGCCCCATAAACAAGGTGAGCAGAGCCAGAGGCCCAGTGCAAAAGACCAGGGGAAATCAGAGCAGTTGTTTGGTGGGACACATTACTGTCAAGACAACTGGGTTGTGAGGAAAGGGGTAAGGCTGAGGTGGGGGGGGGAGCCAAGAAGTGAGGCCAAATGAGGGGAAATGAGGCCAAACGATGTCAGCTTGAGGTTTGATGTAAAACATTCTCTTTCTTTTTTGTCTTTAAAAGTTTAACAGGGTGCCTAATGGTTTGTGTCCAGTACAAAAGTTGTCAGAGGATTAAATACTTGTAACTGCTGTCCTACATACATGTGCATAACATGTCATGGATTACTTGTAATAAGTGCCCTGCGGTTTCATTTTTTGATCCTTGTTTTGCGTGTTGACAGTAAAATGGAATGCCACTTACACATTGGAGGCTAATGTCTTTAAGAGTTAGGATTTCATTATGCAAATTTGTGTTTGAGCCATCCTTGTATTTAAATCTGCTTACCTGTAAAATTCAGCAGGAAAGGTTAAGCTTAGAGCATGGTGAAGCACTTTTGGTGCATGCGTTTCAAGAGAGCTGCCTTTGGCACAGAGTGTGCACAACTTATTTTCATCTGAATGTGCACAATCCCAATGGCATTGCCTCTCTCTTTGTAATCATTGAGGGGGTGCTTGCACACAGTCTGGAGAGGCTCCATGTCCCACCCCCTCCCCATAGTGCATCAGTAATTTGCAATATAAAGCTACAAGTAGGGGTCAAGAATGGAAGTAAAAATCTTTGTCTTTCAATTTTTTGAGATTTTAATATGCAAAGATCTACAAAGAACCTTATGTACATGTGTACATGTACCTGAAAAATACTGTCATCTGTATCATTTCTGCCTACCCTCTCCAGTGGACATTTGAATCTCCTGTATCAGCCCATCACCACATAAAGGATTCCATTAAGCTTTGACACTTCTGGATCATAACGAGCACAATTACCGCTCCCTCCCCCCCCTCCCAATTTGTCTCACCCGACACCTATCCCCTGCCAGCCTACATAAATTTATGCCATGCACGTAATTAACCTAAAGATGATGCCCTGCAAGAATTCCTTTTATCCCTGGACAAGAAATAACTTCCCAGGCACATTTTTCCCCCTTGTAATTTATGAGGAGCTTGCCCCATCTCCCTCCCAAGAGAGTCCACCAGCAATCACACAAGCTGTCTAAACCAACATTTTATGGAACAATCAATTTAGATACCAGTAGTATGGTTTCACTTTGACACTCTGTCTTCAACAGGACCTTCTGTTCACAACCACATTGGATTTTTGAAGGTTATACTTTTTAAAAATTTGGTCAGTTTAATGTCCTTAATTAACAGGTTTTCTTGTATGCTTGTTGTTTTGGTATTTGTCTGAGTTTTTGTAAGGCCATTTTTTTTAAATATTGATTTTCCATTTTAAATGGACTTTCCATGGCTATATCTGCCAGGGGTCCTATCTCATAGGATTACTGAGCACAGATTCTTAGCTGCAACAGTTTACCAGCTGATGTGCTATGCAGTGTGTAATGCTTGAAACTGGTTGCCTACTCAGTTTTCTTAAAACAAAATAATAGTTAAGTCATGATGTTTGCTTAGCAGCTTCTTGATATTTGGCCCAGAGCTTGTTAGAACAAACTCATGTTATGCTGCCATATTTTCAGAGCAAACATACTTGCAATTCATCAGCATTTTTTGTGTGCCGACAAAATGTTTGGCTTTAGTTGTTGAAATCTGTTGGTATCCATGGATTCACTTAGTATTCAGATTTACAGGAATGAACCAGTTTTGTGTGGGTATGCATAAATAGGCCTATGACAACTTCTGTTTCTGTTATGATTTTGAGCTACCAAAGGAAAAACGTTTACAAACCTTTCCTGTTATAAAATTGAATAAAAATTTTCAAACACAAAGCTTTGACGATTAAGTGGACTTGGTGATCAAAGTTGCTCTCCCGAGAAAACCTACATATTCCAATTCTTCTTTGCTGTTCCTAAAAAAATTTGCTGAAAGTCAACCCGTACATTCCGGATTCAGTGCTTCTAGCATTAGATAGCTCTGAGTGGAGATGAATGACAAGGGCAAACTATCTTGCCTTGTTATCTCCCTTTAAATCTTTCAGAATGCATCAAACCTATCAGATTCACCCCATTAAAGTCCAGGGGGGTATTGGGTTTGGGCACAGTCATGGATGAATTAGGGTATTTCCCTAACCTCAAAGTGTCACAGGTTGATCCCTTCTCCCCCCGGGTTGTAAAGTAGTACATTAATGTCACACATTAAGGATGCACTCATAACTGCAAATGGGAGGTTCCTCCTCTGAGACTGTGGAGTTGGGATCCCAAAGGTGTTGAAGGTGGAATCTACTCTTATCTAAACAAGGTCAAGGCTTGTCCTGGAAATCAAATTACATCTTGTACTTTGGCTCACCTTTTTTATTTAATGTGGTAGGCCTTGGGCCCCCACAAAAGTGCGGATTTGCACCATACTTATTTTTTCAGGTGCAAATTGCAGCCTAGAAAAATGGCAAGTCATTACCAGGTTGGGTGCCAGGAGAGTGGCTGTGTGTCACTGCGTCAGACAATAGTCAGACTTTGCTCAGGTGCCAACCTGTCTATTGTGGCCACCTATTTACATGTATGCTACCAAACTTGCTGACAAATATGATCAGTTGCAAGTTTGGCCATTATCCATTTTCAGTGGCCTTCTGTCATGGCCATCGTGGCTAATCAATGTCATAACTTCCCAATTTCAGCTTTCTTATTATCAAAGTTGCTTTGTAATTACAACGTGATAAATAACAGGTTCACCTTCAGGACATTTTTATAGGATCGTGTGTGTTTGTAGAAGGCTGGGCTATCGTTTTTCCCCAAAAAACTTTTCATCTTCATTGTGCCTGTTCCATGACAAACCTATCATTAAAAGGTTACCATTGTTGCTTTGTCATTTTAGACAATTATCAGTTATTGTTGAGGACAGCTTGTTCATTTTGAATGCAGTGATGTAGTGTGGCATTGGGAGGGGTAGGGACGCCCTTAGAGAGAATGTTTTAAAAAGGTTTATTCTTCAGGTTTATTTATTCAGTAAATTTGTACTTGCATCCAGGTATTGTTTGTATTGTTACTACACCAGGTTTGGAAAAGACACTTACTCATAAAGTCACATGATATGAATACTTTACTAGATGAACTTTTGATTTACATGTACCCACATGTTTGTTTGAAATTTTTATCCCAGATTTCCTCTATTTCCGAATCCATCGCTGAATGTCCACGACTTAAAGTCCTCCGGTTAGAGGAAAACTGCCTCCAGTTAGCGGCTATCACACCCAAGATCTTGGAGGAGTCTGGTGTGTCACTACTAGCATTAGAAGGAAATCTCTTTGATATGAAACAACTCCATGATGTGCCCGGATATGAGAAGGTAAGTTTGAAATTCATTCTCCTCGCATGCACTTGAATTAACTCGTCAAAAGTTTCCTAATTAATGAGAGTTGAATGCCAAATCCGTATTTCTTTTTATGATGTGTAAAATCCATCAGTGACTAATGCAGCTGTTTAAAAGCTATTATACAAACTAGCCTTTGTGTTCATAACTGATTACATGGACAATTAAATGTCACTGTTAGAACATTTAGTTTTTCTTCTGTATACATGCACCTGTCCTTTTTGTTGGCACATTTGTATTTTATATTAAAATTCCTTTGTTTTGTTTTTATTCATCAAAGAAAACACACAATTTAAGTAATCTAATTATGCATTGCATACATGTACATGTTGTATTTTTCTCCACTTTGATGTGAGTTTAATCCTTGTTTTGAGAAAAAAACTGTGTGTAACAAAGGAAATATTCTAAAATGTAAATTCATTAGGAAAAGATCAAGTCATTCTTGTGTGGTTTGTGACAAATGTTAGTTGACGTGTTAGCTTGATGATTTCTCTGTTACACTGTGTATGCTCTAAATGATTTGTCCTTTGGAATCTCTCTTCTTGTCCTTTCTTGCCCTCCCCGTGATTTTGCTCTATGTCATTCCAATATGCAGAATTTTTTTCTTTCAGCAGTTGTATACACCTTAAAGAATGAACCCAAAGGAAGTTTCATTTTTTGCTTCATGTTACACCTGATTTGTTACTTGTTTTTCTTTTAGTACATGGAACGGTACACTGCTGCAAAGAAAAAGATGTTTTGATGGGGCATCTGTATTGAGGGTTGCTTTCCAACGTTTTAGCCATCGTGGAAGATTTGGATCCATTGCTGGCATCAGCACTGAACTGTCTTTCACATCAAACTGAAATCATAAAAGTCGGGGAAGACATTGCTCATTTTTGAGAGGGATATTTGGAGTGTCACAGAAATGTCGAATAGGATGCAGAGAATGATCACCATCAGTGCTATTCCTACTGTGAACTGGAGGGTTTTGGAAGAACTGTAATTTCTCGCTGTTTGAATGACTGGATGACCCTTCTTGTATCGGTGTCTTGGAAACAGCATCAGAAAAACCAAGTTGGCCATGGTCTCACCCTCATAGAAAGCTATGTATGGCGCTGTACACAGCATCAGTTTATGAACTTTTTGAAACTTTTTAGATGAACTTTTTGTTTGCACTTAGCAAATATGCGCTTGCATTTTTGCATTTTCCAGTGGATAATGCCTGCATCAATTTGTGATGAGTAGTGCAAGTTTTTAGTCAATTGGCCAAATGGTTAGGATGAGCAGAATTAACAAACAAGTGTCTTAAGCAATAGGTAAACTCAACCAGAGCAATTAACATGGAATGATTTGCCAAAAATCTTTTACCGCAACAACGAGGAAGTACCTGTACTTTGGCTCAGTGCAGGTCATGCTGAAGATGTCAAAAGTGTCAAATCTTTAACAACTGCTTACAACTGTCTGTGATCTGCAACATCACCTACATGTATATGACTATCTGTGGTCTGAAACTTTGCCTAATGATTGTCTGTGACTGTGAAATGCTTGTAGCATTTATAACCTGCCAGCTGGTGATAGTACTCCACTGAGTGTGCCTTGTGCCTTTTCCTTGGCTGGCAGTTGAGATTGGGAGGTGGGATTATTACAACGTTGGCCTATCTAGCCACCCAAAGATTCATCAGGGATCATCATCATGTTTAGGAAGTACAGCACTGCAGTAATGACATCACCCCTGCATGTACCGATATTTAGGTACGTGTACATGTACACGTACAGTTCAGTGCATCACCATAATTCTCAGAAGAGAAACTGAATTAGTTCATCTTTGGAAATCCAGTTGTGAATTTGGAGTACAAAGTGACGTGTTCCTTGCAGGACAGGTTCAAGAATTTTGTGTTGAGTCACAGTAAGTGTGAATGTGAGTTCAACTTTGAAGACACTTCAGTGATTTTACAGATTAACAGGAAATGCAGCTTCAATCTTTATTTGCATTGAGTATGAACAGCCCTTTAACTGCTGGAAATAATACTAACAACCACTGATACCATTGTCAGTTGTGAGTGTTTGGTGTCGAACAAAATTTGCTCTTAATGCTGCACCCACACCAAAGAAGACAGAGGTCTGAGGTATTCCATAATTGCATGGATGGCTTTGTTACCTCGATTATCATTATGGTGAACATTAGAATCTATAAATGTAACTTTAAAATTCATATCATGTTGCCATCAAAGGTTCTCTCTGAAGGAAGAGAGTTTGATAAGCAGAGCCTTGCAAACAACATCAAGAGGTAAAAGTGTGAACACAAATCAGGTCATTTTTTTCAACATGTGTTAAATAGTTAAATACATGTAAAGAAACAGTGAAATGGCATTGAAATTGAAAATGGCGTTTGAAATTTCTACAGTTGTCTCCATCGACTTCACTATACTCAAACAACACACACACTGTAAGATGCCTAATTGTGTAAGAGTGGTCGCATTCTAATTTCTTTTCCTTGGAAGAGACCTTTAAAAAACAGACTCGCTTATTCCAGACGTGTGATTCTCTTCCAATTTACTTTGTTGTCCATCACCATAATACCATATTCTACATATTTGGCAACCTTAGAGGAAACAGGAATCCAGACTCTGTTTTATATAACGGTACATGTACATGTCATGCACTGGTACAACACACATGACAACCTAATAAGAGCGATGGTACACATTGCACAGTCCTGTTTCTCATTATGAAACTGCAAATCAAATTCCTTTTGTAGGATTTTTAATTGTGCAATGGTGAGAGTTTCTTGCCCTTACGTGTATTTCGGGGGGGTGGGGATACCAGTAATCAAGTGTACTTTATCCCAAATTACACTTACTAGTATGTAAACCGCTGTTAGATATAAAACGGATTTGTATATTTTATGTACATAATGTAATACAGATGGCATGTACAAGTCTGTTTTGGCTTCATTTCCAGTCTGGGTGTATAATATTGCTGCTGACTCCACAGGAAACTTTGTAAACTTTGACAAATACGTGATATGTACAGGGAGACAGCTTTCCAGTTTATGTTAACAGGTTTCTGTTTTGTCTCATGCTGTTGATTTGCATTAAGCCCATCAAAAATGGATCCATGTATTTTGTTTTTTTGTAGTGAGCATTTTGGATATTGTTTTTATTCTGGGTTCAAAAAAAGTGAATCACAAAATGTGACCCACCATCCCCAAACGAGGCTGAAGTCGATATTTGTTATGTTGGACAATTCCTCTCCTTCAGCTCTTTTTTTTTTTAACTGTAAAGTGATCCATGGTTGAATCGAAATTCTGCCTGCAGTAAGCTTCTTACGGGAAGTGATAGCTGTAAAACCCCCCATGAAAATCTGATCAGTGGAAGTTCCACTATTTTAGGGTTATGAAGTTACCTACATGTACTTCAGCCTAGTTTGGGGATGGTGGGTCACAGTTGGAAAAGAATTACATGTAAAAAAGCTTTAATGAGAATCTATTTGAATAATGCATGATAATACTGTATGCCAAAATTATTTATACCCCAAAATGTGTACACTACATTGGTAATACTATGAAATGTTACGCATTTTTTTCTCTTTCTTGTTTTTATGCTGAATCTTACACTGAGATCTTCATTGACACAAAGTATAATGGGAATTGAGCATTTGCATTAAGTAAATGCAGTATTCTCAACCTAAAGTAAGAGATTGTTATATAGGTTAAAATATTGACATCAGTCACCTCGTTTATTGTAGCAAAGGATATACAGTAGAAGTAATGTACAGTGTTTCTTCCAGTGTCTGGGATTGGGTAAACCACCGTACGGCATACTCATAAATGAGTTTTGCCTGCAATGAGCTGTACCCAGTAGATCAACATCACAGAATTTGGACTGAAGTACAACAACATTGGAAGCTTGGTGGCAAGAGAAAGTACATGCACATGTACAGGCAAGCTCTGAAAAATTTTGAGTGTCACTATCAAGTCATTTGATAAATCGACATTGCCTTTTTGCTGACAACATTCTGTCATATAACTAGTTTTTGTCAAACTGAACTTCATGAGCAGTGTTGTTGATGTACTGATGTACAGAAATGTTGATGTACTGATGTACAGAAAATACCAATGGTTATTTGGAACAAGTACATGGAGAAGACTGAGTCACTTCAATTATGAAGCTGTCCACAAGTGTACAAAACGCCTTTTTTTAAAAATTCCTCCCTCCCCCTTTTATACATGACGTTTGGATATTTGCGGACCCCATACCTATGACAGATCTGAAAATTACTTCAATACATTTGGGCTCAACTAAATTCATGTTGGTAATGATGAATGTATGTTGAATAACTGCAGAGGGCAAGGTTTTGATTTTTAAGGGATGTAACAGAGAGCTGCTCTCTTTTGGAAGTTACAAAGTAGGTCCACACAAAAGGTTGTGTAAGGAGCGGGAGCCATTTTAAGTGGAAAAACATAACCTCTGAGACAAAGTTGACAAGAGTTATTTGCAGTGCATGTGATTCACGTGGCTGGTTACAAAATTGGGTAAGAAAGTCACATTTCTTCCAGATTATGGATCAAACTTCACAAAAAATAGGGTCAGTATGATTAAGAGAACATTGGCTGGGGTCACACATGTTTGGAGGTCAACCTCTTTTGTGAGAATGATAAAAATGTTAAGGGTCCCGCAATACACAAAACCTTGTACATGTATATACAGTAGATTCCCATTATAGCACTCTCAAGGGGACCTAACAGAATTGAACGTTATAACCGCACAGCACTGTAACCGACTGGATGGATGTGCAACATGTGTACTGCACATGTGCACATGTACTTTTATACATGTACTGTACTGGTATGTGAATTCGTTTACATGTATTGGCAGGTGTATGTACCATAATTTTTGGAATATATGCCTTGTATCCAGTTATCTGGACATTTTCGTGACGCCGATCAAAAAACACCACCAAATCTCTTCAAAAACTGCCAAGGGACCTTGTGCATGCTGCATCGTGGCACACGCACTGCGTCCACACCCACTACGACATCCTGACAGCTTCTGCGTACCCATTCATGGACAGTCCAATCGCTGACTTTTCCAATAACCATGTGATCGCAGAAAGTGATATGTCATCAGAAAATCCAAGTGAAAACAGAACAATATGTCACGCTGAACGCAATGGGTGAAAAAACAAGATTTGCTATATGAAGCTACAGGTACAATTTAAGCGGCTGATTTTATTTACCGCTAGAAAGAAACCTTTCAATTACAAAATACTACATGTAGTATTTCAATGTTGAAACTACACCACGAGAAAAAATAAAAAGTGGGAAATAATCATGACAATGTCGCCACAGCAGAGCAAGTTAAGTTTGTTGTAATTACGTTCGCATTTCAGGTGCTCTGTGACTTCATGACTCATAGACTTCCGTTTAATAACTCAAAATCCAGATAACTTGACTTTTTTTATTTATTCTCCGACGTGGATGGGGGTTTATTTGTGATAATCCAAGAAAACATAACTGTGCCACGCGGGCGCGGCTCACCATGGTGAGCACATGCTCACGATTGCGCTGCACGGACAGCCGAGTGCGTGTCTTTACTTGATGTGATTGCTACACTGGTGTCCCGAGGACAGCCAATCATGGCGGCCTTGCAATTCGGTTTCATATGTGTTGAATATCAAAGAATCTGTCTTGGCAAGGTAAAGAGCCCTGTAACTGGAATCATTTCACATGCTTTATATGGTTCTCAGGGCCAACAATCGAGAACATTATATCCCAAAAAGTGTTGTAAACAGGAGCGCTATAACCACAGAAGTATGTACACAGTGAATGGATGTACAGTTTGGGAAATGAAAATAGAGCTTTATATTGGTAAGAGCGTTATATCAGGGAGCGCTGTAACAGCAATCTACTGTATGTAGCATACACAGTGATTCCACCCTACCCCAACAAGCACTTTTAACACACACGCATTCAATTAATATTTTTTCACTTTCCAAATGTGTACTCGATCATCGTTTACTCTTTAATTTTCAATGCATTGAAGCTGCTCCTGATTGGCAATCAACATGAAAACACATCAGTTTATTAAAAGCAAATGTTTACATTCGTCATATGTATTTCTGCGTATTGTAGAACTAGCGCCAGTATCATTTTGATAATTGGCATTGTAATCACTGCATTTTGAGTATTTGCTACTTGTGTTGTGCAAGGTTAATGTAATAAAAGAAATAAGATGCGTACGAACATGCTATTAAATCTTCCTGTTGTTTTGTCATATCCCTGTTGTTTGCATTGTTTTGAAGTTCGTGCTTATTCAAAATAGTGCAAACAACAGAATAGGACTGGTGTTTTTGCAATTGTTCTGCTCATAATGCTGTGCATTTCTGAGGATGCCCAGTCAATATTACTTCCCTGCTGATCAACCCAGCAACCAGCAGTACAAGCCATGCAGACTGATCCGGTGACAAGAATCAGGAGCCATTATTGTGGTGTCCCCTCGCACGTGTACTGATGAGATGTACATTGAAATGCTTCCTCAGCCATTGGGAGCTCACTGCTAACCAAATCAGGCATGCGTCAAGTTTAGAAATGCGCGCCTGAATGACGGGGACACCCCAAGTAATGGCGTCAGTGAATTGGTTTATACTGTGATGGGCAGGCCTTCAGCGCAGTTTAAGGGGTCAGTTCCTTTTTTAAGAAAGTCGAGATCGATTAGTGGGGACAAAAACACATGTTGTCCCCATAACCTGGTAGCAAGTAATGCAGTGCACACATGAAATAATCAGTAGGAGTGTTGTGACTTGCCCAAATGCACGTGAGCCTTAAGTGTAAGACCATATTCAATGTACGAGTGGGTGTGTTGCAACCACATTAATTGTGTCTCTTTGGATTAGCCTGTTTCATCTATTTTTGAGGGCCAGCAAACCTTCTCCCGCCTCCCCGAAAGAGTTGATCCCAGTTGGGAGTATAGCTTTCCTCTCTGTCTGATGCGAGTTAATCAACTGTTGCTTGTGGTCGTATCCGGAAAGTAATTTTTTTTGTCACATCTGGGGTTGTCTTATAAATTCAGCCAGGATTGTGTTAGAATTATGAGTTATTACTCATGATTGCTACACCTTGTTGGTGTTACTCCTTGATGATAAGGGAGTGTGTTTCCCCCAATGGTCTTGGCCCATTTCATCAATCGGTTAACCTACAAAAAAAAAGGAGAAGTTTGGTTAGGCAATCTGGGTCAAATTGCAGAGAGAGGGAGTTTTTCCAATTAGTGTGGGGTCGGCCTACTGCATGTCAGATTTGTCATGGGATGTTTGTCTTGGCCCGCCTCTATGCAGACTGTCTCCCTCACTGCTCTCCCCATAAATCAGCTGGTGCCCAAATTTAAAGCCGTTTTATTCTTGCAGATTGTAAACTTGTTACTGCCATGACCTTGAAGGAGAACTGGCAGTTTGCGTGAAGCCCTCCATTATGTAAAAGCCAGTCGAGTTATTAGGTGGCAAGGCTTGCCAAAGCCTCGCTCATTCTGAATCGCAAATTAAAGTTTGAAGAGTCTATCCCTTGGATATTTTCACAAACTCACCCCAGTTCTAAGGGTCAGGAACTCATTTATTTTCTTAAAACCTTGAACAAGTTGAAATTCAATGCTGCTTTCCCCTTTTTCCCATAACAGAGGATAATGAATTAATGATTGTGCCCCCCCTCCAACTTTCTTACCCCCTTTATAGCTTCATCAATATGCCCGGGGCGACGGCTGTGTTCCTAAATTTGACTGCAGCGAGTACAGGAGGCGGACATTTGCCGTTTCTTGTGTCCCACTGCATACAGGACCTAAATGAAACTAACCGTAACGCTCTGTCTGTATCAATAAGCTGCATTTCCACTGATTGGGACTACTGGCAAAGAACTGTTCTGTGCCCAGAGCCAGGATGATCTGGGAAGAGCCCAGAGCAGTTCAACTCTTGCAGTATCATGCCCAAAGCTAAATGCATCCAGTGCAAATCTGAGGCTGTATAAGTGATGTATCTGTACCTTTATCCAAAAAAAAAAAGAAAAGGAAAAGATTGTTTCCCATGTCTGCCTGCCTTTATTCCGATCGGGCAGATAAAAACCCTGACTTAAAGGGTTACAGAAATAGAAAACATTTAGGTCATGTGAAGTATTTCAAAATAACAATAAATACGTAACCATTTCAAAAACATCATAAATTTAATTTTTAACCCATTCATTGTGACCCCCAAATGAATAAAAAGTTCCTGAGTTTCCCCGCCCACAAAAAATCCCCTTTCGGTCGTTTGCACTCCCAGGCTGATTGGATGACGTCATCGCCAGAACGATGCACGTACAGTGTACATGTACATAGCGCATAGTACATGCAGTATCGCACGCTTGCAA